TTCGTAACCTTTTTCGTTGGACCTCACCTCGGGAGCACCTACAAATAAGGGACTGTTTTGTTATTATTGTTTTCTTAATATCGATTTTTCTGTCCTTTACTATTTTTGATCGCACTTAGATATCCATTAATTTGTCTCACAATTGTTGGGTCACTCTAGTATTCATATAGTTTAGTGGTTGGTTACACATTAAAAAGGTTAGCGCCGTTTAGCGTCTAATTTTTTGTCACTTCCTTTGTATGTAAATTTGTTTGTTTGTACTGTTTTTGTTGCCTTGCATTTCATTAGGCAGGTAGTAGATTTGAAACTAATAAGGTGTTTGGGAGAACCGCTTGACCAAGTGAGCTGGAATGTAGTGAGAAAGATGAACACCGGTATATTGAAGGCGAAGAAGATGTCCCAACACCTGACTATAATTCAGGACTAAACAGATCAAGGACAAGTTTTTACAAGAGAGTTTATATAAACGAAAATAAAAAATTGGTGAAATTTAATTTTTCTGTCGCATAGTTATAAGGCCTTATTCATAAAAAATAAAGTAGGTTTAAAGGGCTTTATAAATTGACGTTTTCATACATTTTTCAGTTTATAAACCTTTTTTAAAACTACTGCATTTTTTATGAATAAGGCTAATATCGTTTTAGTTTTAAACAGAAATAAGTTTTTCGAAATCCTGAGAAAATCCATAGGCACTCACTTTTATAGCTTATTAATTTTTATAGAACTTAAAAAAATTTGTTCAGTCTAGGTTGCCCCACTTGCCCTCCTCTTTATTAGAGATGCCAGATCGAAATAAAATAACTATTTATTTTTTAATCGATTCAAATCGAAATAAAAATAATCTATGCAGAAAGAAATCGTAAATTAAATAAATCGATTTCCCAATATCGATTCATATATTTTGTCAAATAACGCCTTTTACTTATTTTTATAAAGAAAACAAGACAACGCGATCAGACCAACATGAAATTACAAAACATTTATTGTAAGTAATCTTTAAAACATCATTCTTCATAACGGTTTCAATATCCAGATTTATCCAAGAGCTAGAAGGGAGCTAACATTCCGCTTAAGAAAAACACAAAACAAACATGTGATAAACGGTTTTTCTATATTAAGACAACGATATTTCGTAATTTAGATTTTTGTATCACAGAAGAGACCAAATTCCATGTTCTTCTTCAAAATTAACTGTTATGTTAAAAAGTCGAATATGTATAAAATAGCCCAATAAAACTTATGTACAGACGGAAGTTCTTTTATTTTTCTTTTGTGTTCGTTAACTCTATATTTCCCTTCGTAATTATCATTTTGAAAAAAAAAAATAGTACTCAGTTTTGTAGCCCATTGAATTTTAGTGAAATGGGGTGCAGTTGAAGATGCTGGAACTTACCGTTGATTTTTGGTAATTTATTTTCTGAAAGTGTTGCTCATTTTCTTCACATGTACAATTGTTTTTTGTGGAAGAAAATGCGCATAAACGTCAAGAAAATAATCGCCAAAAATCAATGGTAAGTTCGAGCATCTTTAAAGTTGAACATTATTAAAACCAAAAATGGGCTATCACCGTGATTTTTAGTCAACCCAAACAATTCAAATTTAATGAAGAGCAATTAGTAATTTATCACGAAAACGAATTTTCTTCACAAAATATTTAATGATTGCAATTGACTGAGCCGCATACAATTACCCAAGTCGGCTTTTGTATAACTTGCATGCACAAATGATTCGTCCTTTTTATTTTATGTACTTAAGAGATAAAGTGTATAATACATAAATCTCTGTGTGTACATATACATATGTACATATGTATGTAAATAACTTCACGTGTAACAATGAAAAAGCAACAAGCAAGCACTGGAAAAACTGACTACAATCGCTACTGATTAAATGATTTTAAAGTTCAAAGCATTTGACCCTTTCTTTTGTTGCGATTTGCGATGAAAATAATAAGGAACCCAAGTACCGGTTAAGCATTTGCTTAAGTGCGCTTGGTGTTTTCCTGTTTTTCGATGAGATGTTTGGCAGCGTTAAGGTAATGCGCTAACGCCAGTCAAGTGTTTCACTCATAATTATAGGTAAGTAGATAGTTAGTGTTGCTAAAGTTATTGTTGTTTTTGCTATTGCCATTGTCGCCGGGTGTTAATGGTTTATTTTTGGCCCTACCGCCCATTCACTTCACAGTTTAATCTCATAGTCACGCTTGATCATTCCAATATACCCATTTGGTCGTTCCCATATACATATGTATGTACATACATATGTGCATATGCATGCATATGTACTTATCAGAGAGCTGCAACAAGCTACTTGTTTTCACAAGGCTTGAATCGTAACAAGCATATAAATGTTTCACCATTTGGAAAACGAGTGATCACAACTCAAGCAATATACATAAACTAGTGAGCCCGCATGGCGTTAAAACGCACAAACTTGAATTTCGAAAACAAAGTTATAAGCGATCAAAGTGCCATATTTAATTTAAATCCGTGTAGCCGTTTTTTAGTGAAGAGAAGTCTCGCCTAATAAAAAAAATTCATAACTCAAATTATTGTAGAGTACATCCCATAATATTATACTTAAATATTGCGCAATACTCAGAGCTACCAATGTGATTTTTTTGAGATGGCATATTGTTAAAAACTATTTTTTTATCAAAAAATAGGCATGTGAAAAATTTTTCAAGAAAAAAAATTTTAAAATATTTCTTTTCATAGAGAATTTTTATGTATGTATATGTGATTATTTTTCAAATCTTTTCCTCGCCCCGTTCTCGAGATATTTGGAAAACTATTAAATCGATTTGTTTTTGTTTTTGTGCAGTAAAGTTTTTAAAAATGTATTAATCAAGCTCAAATTTCACATTTATTTATTAAAAATGTGAAACAAATCAAACACAAGAAGTGTGAACCCTGTCCGTTTTGGTATGGAACGCCCCATATAAAAATTAATTTAATTGGACTTTTCAAGCGGGTGGAAGTCCTTTCCAAAAGTTATTTCAAACTTGATTCTTCTTAAATCTCTTTCGCCTGACATTGTGATACACGTGCGTTTCAATAGCAGATGAACTAATTTGAATTTGAGTTTTAAAACCCATTTCGATTTATACCCATCGTTTAATAATTCGTTGAACTTATTGAATAATTTGAATGCAACTATTTAAACACGTGGCAGCCCTTCTCAAACGTTCCAAACTTTCAGACTAAATAGTTCTTAACATTCTTTCGCTTGACTCCCGTATTTGTATAATTCACATAAATTCTGCATTAGTTAGTTAAATTAAATTTTTCAAACAGATGGGAGCCCTCTTGAAAAGTATTTTCAAGCCAAACTCTTGTTAAGGCTCCTTTGTCTAACATTGCGATACATATTTGAACAAAGTGATAAATTAAGTTGAGTTTGGTTTTTTAAACATGTGGCAACCCCACTTAATATGATTAATAAGTAAAGATTTTCGAAACCACCTTAGATTGATACTTACGAACTAATAATTCATTTAGCTTATTTAATACTTTTAGTTTAACTATTTCAACAGGTGGCAACCCTTTTCCATCACATCAAAATAGTCTTAGCGTTGAAAATAAAGATTTATTAACACACTTTCGTTCGACATTCATATTTTGACGTCTCATATAGTTTGTGTATAAGTCAACTTAATTCGAGATTTCAAGCAAGTGGCAACCTTGTTCTAAATATTTTCAAACTATTACCTTCTTAAAACCATTTCGTTTGGCACCCATATGGTATTACATACATACTGCTCTTACCTGTTTCCCCTAACTCAAATTGAATTTTATTTTTTAAACAGGTGGCAACCCTCCTATAGTTAAGTTAAAAAACATATATACCTCTTATTCCAAAATAAAAAATCATAGGTATATTTTTTCGATATAGAATTATCCTAGGAGGTGAGAGCATTTAAATTCGGATTTTACTTTTTTTTTTTACCACTCTAATGTTCATGCATAGGCCACCGCTGTGGTATATTGGCTTAAGGTAGGGCCTACCATTCCACACGGCCTGGGTTCAAGCCCAGTTTCCGGCCAACATCGAAAAATGTGATAAATAAAGTTTTTTCTAATAGCAGCCGCCCCTCGGCAGGCAATAGCGAACCTCCCAGTGTATTTCTGTAGGTCCCTCGCCTCTGTGTGACAACTTCAAGGCGCACGCACCAATCGGAGGAGAAGTTCGGCCACACACTAGCATATTGTAAAAGCGTCAATCTCTTAGTGCTTTAGTAATGATCCTCCGTGGATCTTCCGGTCTACAGTAATTCTAAGAGATAGACATCGATCGTTTATTTTTCCTATAGGAATAACTAAAGCAGGGATCACACGATTTGTGCATTTGTACAGATTTGCACATTTCACAGATTTTCACAGTTACAGAGAGGAGTGGTTTAGAAACTTGTTGTTGAGCTGAACTCATTCTCGGTAAAAGTTTCTAGACAATACCACTTTGTTGCTGCGAAATGTGCAAATGTACCAATCGTGTTATTCCAGCTAAATAACACGTAAGAAAATTATTTCCTCTCTGAGATTAATCGAAACGCGATTTAAGTAATAAGCAGACTCAGAGTCTTAAATTCCTGCTTTTTTTGTAATTACTAGGCGTGACCCGAACAGGGCAAGCTAAATGAAATCCCTTAAAAAGCATAAATTAGGAATTTAAAGAATCTAAGTTTGCTTATTACTTAAATCGCGTATAATCAATGTATTCTTATATGACTCATCCTAGCAATTTATATTGAACTCAAAAGAGAATAAATCATTTTCTTACGTGTTATTCCCATGGCAAATATAAGGGATCGATGCGACGTCTATTAGAATTATCGTAGAGAGGGGAGATTTACGGAGGATCAGATACTAAAAATTTGGGTAAAAGTCTGGTTGCATTGCAGGACTTGTTTTTTTGTACTTGATCTAATATGAATGTATTTAAGCAGTCAAATTAATTAGCTCATTATTTTTTCACAGACAATGAAGCCTCGCCAGCTATTAATGTATGACTTTATTGCCTGCATAATATATCTAGAATTGTCTGCAAGCATTTCTCAACCTTCAACCGCCCAACGGCAGCAGAATCCGCTTTTATCAGAGTTTTATGCAGATTACAAAAATCAAAACAACAATGATGAGGTGAGTATGAGCGAGATAAAATTGATTGCATAGCATTGCCAATACTTATATGTATTTACATACATCCCATACATTTTTGGGACTATTGAACATAGAAAACTTACTGACCTTTTCACTCGCAGAATGTGACCTGAAAAGTCAAGAAAAAGAAAAGCCCGACATTAAAAGTTAGGCGCGAACTTCTGAGCCAGAAAAAAAATTGTCGCATTTTACTTAGATTCACGTAAACTGCGTTTATATTTAAAAGCTGACTAGCTTTTGATTGGCTAATCTTAGTTTAAAGCACATAGATCGAGCGTTTAAACTTAGTTTGAACCACAGACAGATTTAACCGTGCCCTGAAAAACTGACCCTCAAAACAACAACTAAAGTAAACAACAATAACAAATAAAAAGTAAAATAATGGCATTTATTAAATGCAGAAAGCTTCGGGAATCTAGTGATGTAACCACTTAAGAAACTTTTTAATCAAATATTTCAATTTTTACTTGCCATTTCAGCTGAGGTACGCTTATCATTACTTCGTTGACCATCCAGAATCAATGGTGCATTTGCATCATCAGGAGGAGCGCCAAGGCACAACAGTTAAAGGAGAATATGGGTTGTTGCAGCCAGACGGTTCTGTGCGCAACGTTTATTACAGCGTGGACGGAAGTGGAGGATTTCGAGCTATTGTACGCACCCGAACAGCAGCCAGCAGCACACATCAGCGTTTACATTTACAGCAACAACAGCCGAACAAACCCATACAACATGCGCAACCAGTGGCATTCATTAATTGAATAGTGGAACATTTCAAAATGTGATTAGTGAAGTAGAAATATCTACATACATACATACATACATATGTATGTATATGTAATATGATCCTTTTTCCCATTGTCGAATGAATAAAGATCTAAACAACACTGTTTTCTTCTCAAAAATTAAATTAAAAAAATCCGTACTAAATTTAAAAAAAACAATTGAAATTGGGCCACACTTGAGAAGTGCAACTTAAGTACGTTACACATCTAGTTTGTGAATAAAATGACTGGCTATTTAATATAATGTGATAGGCTTAACATTATATTTTATTCCAAAACATCGTATATCATACAACAACAAAAGAAACTAGTCCATCCGTCTTTATATCGCTCTGCTTGTGTCGCTACTTCTCCTATCTCTTTCATATCTCTAACCCTATCTCTACCCTTTCCTCTACAATTACATTTATCTTAATCTCTTTCCTTTATTTGTATTTGCATCTTTATACACACGTTTGTCCTTATCTTTACCTTTATCATTATCTTTTTTTGCATATACACCATACCTTCGTCCCTATAAAAGCAAAACCTTTAAATTCAACCTTGAATTGAATTGAAACTTTACAAATATATTTATTTATGATTTGCAACGCTGAGCTGAGGTTAGGTGAGGTGGGTTGACTTGCGCTGAGTTGAGGCTAGAAGAAATATGTGTTGAAATAATGTGAGGTGAAATGACGTAAGAATATGTTATGTGATGTGATGTTATGTAATATAATTGGGGTACTCACAGTTCTATATTATCTACTGTGTTAAATTTGCCACCTGGTAACTTTAAAACATTTTACCATGTGGTAACTTTGTTTGTTGTTGGTTCCCATACTAATTAGAGATAACACTTTTGGGCAAAATTACTCGACTTTGTTTCATGTTTTTGTTTTGTGTTAAACTGGCATCTCTGATCAGCTAATTATTCGCGCTAAGAAAAAATGGAAACTGAAGCAGAAAAACATAAGGTTGGCGCAATTTGAAAGATTTTTAAATATATATCTAACTATATTCGTTTTATTGACAATTTGAAACACATGTGTGACGGTTGCTCACAGTTCGAGTGTGTTATCTTGTTAAAGTTGCCACCTTTTAACTTTAAAATTAAACTGTGAATACCCCAAATGTAATGCGATTTGATGTGATACGATGTCATGTTATGTCATTTGATGTGATGTCATGTCATCTGATATCATGTCTTGTGATATCGTATTGTGTGATCTCATGTCATGTAGTGAGCTTGGGCGGGGTGAATTTAGGTGTGGTAGATTTAGGTGCTGTAAGTTGGTGGTGAGTTCAGATGTGGTGAATTTAGGTGCAGTGAGCTTGAAGGTGGTTAGTAAATTAGGGGGTGACAAGTTCAGGTGTGGGGAGTATATGAGTGGTGACTTCTCTATCTGTATCTCTATCTATATATTTTTCTTTATAATTACTTTATCTTAATCTTTTTTCATTCATCTTTATCTTTACTTTTATCGTTATCCCCATTATCTTCCGTAACTTTTCTTTATTTTTACCTCATTGAGCGTTGCCCTCGTGCATCTGTAAACAATGAACTCCAGCATAGGAAAAGGTCCTTATTTCTCCTTTTCCTAAGGTGGAGTAAGCAAAATCGTACGCTTTCCAATGCTAGATTGACGAAGGTTTTAAGTAAAAACTGGTTTGTGTTCGAACGGGTTATGGAGGCTCTTAGCGATTTGAATGAAGCTTCCATTCGTGCTAACGCAAACGGATTTAAACTAGACGAATAAATGGTGTGTTCCACTTGCTTATCGAGAATCTTTTCCAAAATTTTGCTCATTGTAAGAAACTGGTCAGCAGTGGATTTTGCAGGCCAGAAATCACACTAATAAGGTCCAATGCGCTTTTACATACGTTTTCCCCAGCTTGTAGCTGTGTAGCTTGTCCCATTTCCCTTCGATATGCGAGTAGACTCGATTCTGACCTTGTGTAAATTTTGGAACCATCAGTAAATATTTTACATTATGTAAATTCGGGCTAAATTTGTTGGTTAAGCCAGCACTCAGCCGCAAGAAACCGAACATTTTAGTAACTCTGCAGCAAAGAAAATGGTGGTCTAATATCCAGTGACATTGAAACAACATTGGAGACTAAAAATCTACTCGGTGACATCCAGCACCCATTTCTTTAAAGGCTACAGATGGCCACAGATAAAAGTATTAAATAACAATAGATTTATCAGTGCATCCAGAGCAGCACCATGTGTTGTAGGGTAAGCTCCTGTACACCATATGTACTTCGATCGTTCTTTGAAGTTTGGCAAGTTCGCTATTGATTGAGAGTCTGTTAAAACATACCACAAATGCTTTGTTTAAGCGACTTATACATTTCCGGCATAAACCAAGTGCAGCGAAAAAACACAACCACTTGTGTTTAAAATCGATTCGCTCGTTCTTAAGTCAATTCTCAAACCTCACGTCACTGACCTTAGCCATGGTCAACGCTAACCCAACTTGACTATCACACAGTGCTTTAAGCATCGCTCCCACTCCACTCCCGGAGTAGTTTTTGATTTGGTAATAAGTAACGGGTTGCTAGCCACATAGGGGTTCTGCATGAATGCATCCCTGAATAAATTCCAGCTCATTACACAGCAACCAACGGCAGCTAGAGCATGACTCTTCTAATGAAGTCTCCCAATTGATGCATGCTAAAAGGGTGACATCTTGCGCTACTGCTTCATCAGCGTTCCCGTATATCTCACTCTCTCGATATCAGGCATATGAAGAGCGTGGTTGACTTGATAAACACTCGCAACAACGGTAATCCCAACCTCCTCTACCTCTACTCCTCTAACTCGACCACAACTCTAAACCTAGCCTCCCGCTCTCCCTCAGCTAAACAACTTAGCTGATAAATGGTATTATCTTATGGCTGAATGTCAACTGGAACGCTTTCTAGGTGACTCACGCCACCAAAGACCTGTTTAGAACGCTGTTAAGCCTCTGGAGGTCCTTTGCTCAACGTTCGCTTTTTATCTATGATAACAATTAAATACTTCACTTTGGAAGAAATGTGACTAAATAAAACACTTCATGGGTATAGAGAACACGGTCGTCCAACCTTCTCCTTCTAGTAAAAAGCACAACACTAGCTTTGTAGGATTAGCGGACAACTAGCTCTCACTAAATCGCTCTCCTACATACAACTGAGAGAGAAGAACCTGTAACGAGGCATGAGGCAGCATCGGCACAGACCAGAGATATTTGAGTTGTTACAGTCTGCAAGTAACGAATAAATTACCATAAAAAGGAGAAAACACGCTGCCCTGAGCCTTAATGAACTGCACACGTGACATAGTGATCCCCTTCTGCGTGAATCATAATGACCTTCTACGCTAGCATTGAAGCAATTTAGCAGCTCAAAATCTACTAAGACTTGAAAGAGAAGAAGTTGTGTTAAACGGATTTGGATTGGACCTTAGTACATATTCAACCAAAATTATATATTTTATTCGCTTATACAATTCTTCATTCAATTCATAATAAATAAATTAGGAGAAGTAATTGCATTAGTTTTATCAATTGCAAATTTTACTACCACATTCTCTTCCTCTTCTGTCTGATTTTCCAAGGAACAAAGACTTCTTAATAAAGCATATAAATCTTGGTAACATCAAAACAAGTCTCCGAATCAAGTTTCTATACTACGCAAGTCCAGGCACTACATTATAAAATATCGCCGTCTACTTTTGTTTTGCTAGAGGCGATCCAAGCTTTGCTCTCTGCCATGTTCGTTTATCGCTATCAAATTAATTTTAAATCACATCTTACCGTTAAAATCGATTTACCTACAAAACGTGGTAGCAATCATTAAAAAATTAAAAAAAGGTTAAAGAGCAAAACAAACCGTTTAGCTAACTTTTCATTAAATCACCGCGTTAATGAGTGGCTAAGCAAACCAACTGTTCGCGGGAAAAATAATTAACTTGACAAGCAGCCGTTGGTTGTTGCCTATTTGTTCACACCCAATTGATATACATACACATAAATACATATGCACATATTGAAGTAATACATATCGCACATTTGTTGCAAAAGTGTCATAATCCAAAAAATCAAAAACTCGAAAAAACGAGAAACGTTTACAGTTTACACTCGCTCCCATAGCAAAAATGAAGACACATCTTTTAATGAGCTATTGTTTATCGATACAGCAATGCAATTTTTTCACAACATACTTAGAAGAGGATAAGGTTTTCATTTCTGCACAATTAACACAATTTTTTCATTTTCTGATTATGACACTCTTGCAGCAAAGTTAAGATATGTATGAATGTATATGTATGTGTTTTGATGCTATAATTGGCGCATATGTGCTTGCAGACACTTCCCTGCAGGAAATGGATCTAACTATAAGTTGATTAGAAAGGAGCTATAAGTCACTTATTATCTGTATATTTTCTTTGACGAAAGCTAACTATATTTCTATGGCGATGGCCGCGAAATAGTCAAGGGTGGTTACCTCTGCATTTGATGTAACTAGCTTGTAACTAACTACTTTTGGGCATGAAATATCAATAGGAAAATTAAAAAAAATTTTATTTATTTATTTTATTTTATTTATTTTTGTTTTATTTATTTACTTTATTTATTTTATCATATTTCATATTTGTTTACATAATCTGCTGTAGGTGGCCACATATTCGCACACCGTCAGACATAACTTCAAGAGGATAATATGAAATTTCGATCTTCCTTTTATTTGTCCTCAATCCGAAAAAGTATTTGCGAAGTGCAGGATATTTAAATAGAAACGCGTTTAGAAAAAACAATCTTCTTCATTACTCCTGCATTACTTGTCAACTAGTTTCAAGTAAGCTTTTTGTAGCTAACTACAAGTTATATATTTTATAGAAATTCCGCAAAAAAGCTTACTACAAGTGGGTTATTTTTTATCAATTGGTAATTTTTTTCTGCAGGGTATAATTAGCACGTATGTACTTACTTGCAGGCACTTATCGTTTAA